TGATTTTTAGTTTACTTAGCTTTAAGACTGAATTCATAGGATGAGATACAACATCAATATGTATAATATCATGTTGCTTTTGCAGACATATCACCATAATATACCTTGAGGTGAACGTTTATGCTGATAAATATACCTCTCATACACAATCATATCCTTTTGAGAGAGAGGAATTGACAGCTAACCACAGTAAGCATAACATAGACCATGTTTTAACGAAGTTACCCATCTGAAACGCTCTTCATATACGTTATAGCCAAAGAAGGTTATTTAATAATTTTGCAACTTTAATTGCATTTAACTTTTCGGGGAGAATGACTCAGGAGGGTAACCAACTGTTAAATTTGTTCTCATTTGATCCCTTTCCTTTTTTTGTACTCAATATACCATCGAACTTGTTGTTTATGTTCACCATAACCCTTTGACCGGCTATCACAGGTCAAAAGTCGGTCAAAAGGGTTATGATGAATACAAACAACAAGTTCAATGGTATATTGAATAAAAATAAAAATTAAAAAAAAAAAAAAAAACAAATGAGTATAAACGCAAAAATTAATTACCCTCATTAATCATTTTCCGCTGAGATATGGTTTCTAGCCAGCAATGGATTGAGCGGCTTCTTACATTTACTCCGCTCCGCGGGTTTACCAACCCGTCCATTTTGTTTCAATTGCATATTAAATAGAGGAATAAACATAAAATATTCATTCCTATTTTTGTTGTTTTGATGCATGTGGAGTTGATAACGTGCCCTCTTATTTATTTATTCATTTATTTATTATTTTTTGTTTTCATATAAATCTGTACAATGAAAACGAATATATTGACATTTCTTATTTAATTAGATAATGTTATGTTTTATTTTATTGGTTTTGATTATTATGCACGTTGTGATAAACAATGTTATGTTTTATTATATTTTATAATTTTTTAATTTAATTAAATAAAAAAGTAATGTGGCAAATGAATTGAATGGATTGGAAAATATAAGATTTTCATGTGTTGTGGGTTGGGAGGTTTGGAAGAGAGAGAAGATTGAAAAACTGATGTAACGTTGATGTGGTAGTGGGTTGAGTGAGTTGGAAGGGTAGGACTCCCTCCTCCCTTAAATATTATGAAAACATTACAAAAATCCTTAAATAACAAAAATAAACGTATTAAAAGTATAATTGTCTTTTTAGTTTGGATAGAGACCAAAACCACAAGTAAACTTTGTGAAAATGACCACCAACCCAAAAGTTTAGTGGTTTGGATATTTTTTTTGAAAAAATACACACAATATGGACTATTTTTATATTTTTATCTAATAAAAACATCTAGCTAAGAGCTTTTTCAATGAGTCCAGTTATTTTTCAACTAATTATGAAAAAACATTCAACAAAAAAGACATTGAAAAAACTTTCTTATTGTGGGAGATACAATGAACTTTTTGGTTTTAAGGTTTTTCATGAAAAAAACTTTCCTAAAAAGCTTTAATATTGAGAATGCTCTTATATTTTGAACTTTCGTAATTGTTTTGTTATTATCGTTTTAATAGTTTGGTTAATTTATACTAATTTGTTTGGTTTAATTAGCTTAGTTTCATTATAGCTAGTTTAGTTTAATATTTTAGGTTTTTTTTATATAATTACTTTAGTTTAGTTAGTTCAGATTACTTATAATCATTCACTTGCAATACCTAATTTAATTGTTAGTTCTAATTGTAATACGATTATATATAACCCGAGGAGTGGTGTTTAGATAGTCTTGGTTGGATTTTTTGAAATGTTATATACCGAAAACATATTGTCGACTCGACTGTCTTTTTCTTGCCATCATGTAGTCAAATGTATTAATTTTGATCTAATACATAATTTAGGTAATTCAAATGACTAATTATAAATTTAATTAAACTATTTAAGTAAGTAATTACAAGTTAAACTAATATAATAACTTTAAGATTTGATTTCACTACTAATAAATAATAATGCACTTTACTTGAAATTAACTAGGGATCATGTCAAAAGAGAAATGTTTGATATATTAAGTGGAGAAATATCTGATATATCGGTCACTCAAACACAAATAGACAGTAATGGTCAAATATAGTGTTATGGTGTGCAGCTAACACGCACGCGAGTGATGTAAGAAACATTCATACAAGAAAATCTTGTTTTTTATTTCTCCACCATTTTTTTTAATTTCTTCAACATTAAATGCATTTTGTAAAATTTAAAAGTGTAATAAAAAATATGACTACTACCCATCAACTTTCGGGTCAAAATGAAATTATAATAAAGAGAAATATAGATTTTGAAGTTATAGTAAACAATTATACTATAACAACTACGATAGTGAATACTTGAGTAGAGACGCAAGTTGTGAATCACGAGCTTTCAACCCGAGGACACCAACTCATCAAACTAGTTCTTCAAGATCATGTGATTTAATGAGTATCGGTACCTCATAGTTTAATGGCTACTCTCGATCAACACTTTCAACATTCAAACATCTTTAGACGAACTTTCAATTTATAAAGCAGTCGATTATGTTTGCATATAACTTTTGAAAATTTAGTAAGCTTCTACATTTTAAAACAGTGGCAAGAAAGATAAAACTTTATTCAATATAAGTGTTGGGGTAATAGACGGACTTTCAATTTATAAAGCAATCGATTATGTTTGCATATAACTTTTGAAAATTTGGTAAACTTTAATATTTTAAAATAGTGGCAAGAAAGATAAAACTTTATTCAATATAAGTGTTGGGGTAATCAAGTTGTTCACTACTCAGTAGGTACTAAATTGTCCATGGTTAAAAGGGTCCTTTAACCTTCTTGTTTGATGTGAGATTATTAGAGCAAAAAGATTGTTAGAGTCTTTTGCTGCAAGTTTAACTTGAGAAAGACTTTGTATTTTGGTTGACCGAGTTAATCAGGAAAGATGAACATGAAGCTAAGAGGGAGGAGGACGTGGTTTAATGTAGCATGTGGTTTCTTGATTGTTTTAGTTACAAATAGGAGTAATGTTGGTTTACTTGTTTTTGTACTCTCATCTTTAATAAAATTGTTTTAACAATGGAGTTTCATAATTATTCTTTATCTTTGCAAATTACATATATATACGTGAGTGTATGATTGTGTGTTTTTTGTGGGGAGTGTTTGATATACGTTTGACCGAGTCCGGTCAAACGTTTTTGGCTGACTCGGTCAGTAAAACATGTTTGGTAATCTAAATTTGGGCATCTGACTCGGTAAGAAAAATCTGATTCGGATAGAAGAAGGAAAATAGCTGACTGAGAAAGGAAGATACGCTTTCCAACTTTACCCTTGCCTTACGGTTCTTTTCAGTGCCTCCATCCTCATTCTTCTCCTTCTCGCATCGCCGCCATAGCCACGCATCAACGATCTTCTCCATACCAACGATCCATTGACTGCCACTTCTCATCAGGTATGATTTCTACATAATCAGATCTAATAAATTATGCGAAATTTAATAGAAGATCGACATATTTATGTTCATGTTTGATTTCTGATTTTTCTGATTTTTCTTATTTCTACATAATAGTCGACTGAGAATAGGTTTTGATTTCGGATTTTTCTGTTGAACGTGTTTATGGGTTCTGATTTTTGTCATGTTCATACGTGAATGGTCCGATTTTTGTTGTTATGTTCGTGTTTGAACTTCTCAAAAAGTTATGATTTTTTGTTGTTATGTTCTTGTTTGAAAAGTTGTGATTTTTGTTGTTGAATTCACATCTATTCATACACATATCTGTTCTATAGCTTGAAATCATTTTTGTTGTTGAATTCATATATGTTCATACACATTTTTACTGTTATGTTTCTATTTAATCACTATTGTTGCTCTAGTTATGGATGCTAATTATAACTAAATAAAATTTCACCTGCAACGTTATATTGGGGATCATAATCCTTAAAATTGATCGAGGATAGGTTTTGTTTAAAGAGAAACAATGCAAGGGTCTATTGAGGAGAGCATTTTTAGTGGTGCTGGAAAAAGAGAAAAAAGCAAAACGGATGAAGAAAAAGATAGGGGGAAAAGGAGAGAAACAACTTTGAACTACTCATTCTTTTAAATTGCTATGAATGTTCACACCTGCTATAAATATAGTATTTTAAGTAGATGGAACTCAAATCATTTTATAATGCCACGCTTCTGACTTTCAACTAAATGAAGTTAAAATTCCAAAAAGATAACTATCTTTGTTAAGGATTAAAAGTGTAACTTTGGTTTGAAATCCCATGTTCTTGATATTGGTTTGGATGAATTATGTTGCTAGTATTTGGTTTGAAATCCCATGTTCTTGATTTTTCAATTTCATCCATGACTTGCTTAAATTGATTGATGAACATGAATATAGTCAATGAATAGATTTTTTGAATTGTTGAAAAACAGTGAATTTATTTATAACTTTATAAAACAATGATTTCTTTTATAATTTTTATTTGGATTTTTAAATGATTTGTTTGTAATTTATATTTTTTATGATGTTTGTAACTTTTCAACAACTTCATGCATCATTAGATAGAGCGGCAGAGTAAAATGATAATTTTTCATCAATCAGCACATTCGGTCAGATGTATAATCAAACAATATAATTTCTATTCAGTCAGGATTTCTTATCCAGACAGATCTTTCTCAGTTAGCACTTTCTCAATCAGCAACTGTCAAACGAGACCTTAGCCTCAACCGTAAGGATGATAGCTTTATAATCTTGTTTATCTCTTAATGGATGCCATATTAAGTACAAAAGGTGTATGTTGACTCAAAATGCAAATGTTTGCAATTCCATTGAGAGATACAAAACTATTCAAATCTTGAAGAAGGCTTTAACCTATACGGAAAACAAAACATGGTTTTGGAAGACAGATTGTACAGACGTCAGCAAAAGTGTCGTCATATACTAACACCATTATTGAAGAACCCAAGTACATCATCAATTCTTGCAATTTCCTTAAGGATATATGTCCATGTGTTTTTTTCTTCTTGTTCCTTTTGTCAGAGGTCTTCTAAAGTAGTGTTGTTGTATTTGATATATGTTCATGTTTTCCAACAAATGATTTTCAAGGTACAACATTATAACATAGAAAATGAAAGTCGGGTACAATAATAAACAATTGAATAAAAGTATGTCCCTATGCTATCATTTAAAATAATTACATGTTCCTTTGAAATTGATTTTGAGCATAACACACTAAATTAGTAAAAGTAATATCTTATATGTATATATATGTTTAAAGTGATGAATAAATAGGTAAACCTGGTAAGCTATATCCTGAATCAACAATGAATACGTTACCTGTGACATAATCTGAGGAAGCATGAATTAAATACTTGACCAAGGAAGTCAAACCTGGGTCAGTAACACCCAATTCTCTCAATGGCATTGTTTTTGCAACCACATTTTTCAGCCATTTCTTTTGCAGAAGTTGCTCTGTAATTTCAGATTTGAAAATCCCTGGAGATATGGAGTTTACCCTTATTTTGTAGCTTCCCAATTCCATTGACATTACCTGTATCAAGATTCAAGTAAGTACTTATTAATAGGGACATTTGATAGGAGTTGGTTTTTTTGTTACCTTTGTCATGGTGTTAAGGGCAGATTTGGAAGAAGCATATGCAAGAGCACCAGGTAGATGACCACGTGTAAGACCAGCAGTAGAAGAGATGTTGATTATGGATCCTCCTTGATTATTAGCAACCATTTGTAGACCAACATACTTTGACACCAACCAAGATCCTGTTAAATTTGTTCTAAAAGTTGTATCCCAATCTTCTTCTGACAAGTTTAAGGGATTTCTTACAGGACCTAAATGGAAAAAAACAATAAATAAAATGGAAAGAACCAATCTTGATAAAAATGTAATATGTACTGCAAATGATGAAAATGAAATTGTGCTTGAAGTTACAGTTTTGGTCGAAAAAACCTTAGGCGGTAGGGTTATGAATCTCACATCCATTGTAAGAATTTGAAAGAAATCATTCAATTTAACATCAAATTTTTGATTTTTCAGTATAAAAAACATGACAAAGACTAGTTTTTAGGCCGAAGCATATCCTAATTTATTAATGATTTCTTAACCATAGCTTTGATACAGTTGATGTTAGGCCAATTACTCTGCGTGAAACAACTACCACAGAGGGCATCACATAAACAATAAACCTGACACAGAGAGAAAAGATGAAAAAAATTCGAAGTTACCTCTAATACCGGCGTTATTGATAAGAGCATCGATACGGCCAAAAGCATCCCAAGCCTTTAGCACAGAGGCTTTGATGGTAGGACCATCGGCGCTGACGTCGAGCTCCACCGCCACTGCTTGGACGTCGTTGTCCCTGCCTTGACTCCGATGAGTACCAGCGATATTCAGATTGTTAATTGCATCGCACAGAGCCTTGAGCCGGTCTGTTCGGCGGGCAGCAGCAATAATCCTGCAACCGGCTTTGGCTAAGTCGATACAGAATTCCCAGCCTATGCCGGAGGATGCACCAGTTACCAAGACGATCGTCCCTCTGAGGTCTCGCCATGGTTCCAGCTCACAGCTTGCTGCCTGCCGAGTAGAAACCCTCATCGATGATCGCGACTGATTTTTAGAAATTAAAGTGAAATGAAAACTCCTACTAAACTGTTCAACTTTTTATAATAATTTATCCGGTTAGGGATGTTATTTGGGTCAGAACCGAACCGAACCCGAATAAACCGAATACGGGTAATTGTATAAATTAAAAACCGAACCAAATAAGTAATACGGGTTTGGTTCTGTTCAGGTATTATTCGGTTCAGTTCGGGCCCAAATAACCCAACTAACATGTAGAAGATGATTAAGGACCCGAATAACCCAAATAACATTTACAATGTGATTATAAATATTGTATTTTGTATGATTTTTGTAACTTATGATAAACACAAATAACACGGATTAACTATTCTTGATATATAAAATATAAAATCCAACCACCACAATCTTAAGATATAATTATTAAGCAAAATAGTAAACACTAAACATTAAACATCCAAAACAACCAAAAATTTATCTATAAGCATATAAGTTAAACATTAAACATTACATAGGTATTTTGGGTAATGATTGATAAAACACAAAACCGAATAAACAATCGTGCAAGGGGAAAAAATGTGACTTTTCATATTCGGTTTGGTTCTTTTGGACCGAATAAGCCTTTATTTGGGTAACCCGGACCAAATAAGTCTTATATAGATACCTGAAAACCGAATCGAATTGCTTATTCGGGTCTAATTCGGTTCGATTCGGTTTTCAGGTCGATTCGGGTTTTCGAGCTAAATTCACATCCCTATTTATCCTAACGCTTTGTCCCGAGTTTTTTTTTTTTTTTTTTTTTTGTAAAATCAATAAAAGAAAGGGAAGGAAAATTTTGATAGAAAGAAAGAGATGAGAAGAAAAATATTCATTATTCTGTGTTCCTAAATCCGAAAGGAAATGAAAAGAAATGAAAGGAAAATTTAATTTTATATGTTCCCGAGTTAGGAGGAAAATAAAATAAAACTTAAAATTTCTTTCCTCTCACTTTCTTCATAAATTCGTCCAATTTGGAAGGATAATATGACTTCAATTTTTTTTTCCTCCCCTGACTTTCCTTCCATTAATGAAAATCGGGAACACAATTTTCCTTCAACGTCCCTCACTTTCTCTCCATATCTTCTTATTTCTCTTCTTAAGTAGAACTTGGGAACAATGTGTAAGTATATTTTCTTGTTAGTGAGTGGTGTCACCTGGACAACCACTATCCACGAGCCTCTGAGCCCAGTACTTATGACGGTCTAATAAAAAAACTATTTTGAAAAATATTTTTACGTTTGCCAAATCTTTTTGATGTATTATTGGCTTTCCAAAACGCCAACACGTCCAAAAGTTATTTTGAAAAACAATCATCAACACCCCATTAATGCCTAAATTTTATATTAAAAAAATCATATAGCTTGCTTATGTGATAATGACCTTGACTTTTTGTTGATGTAACACGTCATCTTTTCTATTTAACAGAAAAACATAACAAGTCTCAACTTATGTAACAGGGGACTTAGGGGTCATTTGATAGTTGCTGACTGGATTAGAGATGATTGGGTTAGAAGCTGACTGGGTTAGAAATGATAACTGAGTCCATATCTGACCCTATTTGATTATTTATCTGAATGGTTGTGCTGAATGAAAAAATGACCATATTACTCTTGTGTTGTCTCTTGTGCTGGATAAAAAAATTATAAAACCACAAATTATCATATAAAATCCAAATTAAACATACATCAATTAAAATCCAAATACAAAGTGTAATACAAAATTCAAATACAAATTGTCATACATAATAAAAAAAAAGTACACCATTTAACGTGAACCATTTGAAAGTAATTGATTAACAATCTGGTCACGCAAAATAGTCATATAGTTAACGGCTTCTGAACCCCATTCTATGCCTTCTATGTTTTGACCCTCATTTCCTCCACCACCCACATTATGAGTAACCATAGTGTTTTGTTCAAAGTTCGTAAATAATTCATCTTCAATATCGTATTTCCTTATAAAATTATGGACCGCAACACAAGCAATGATTATGTCTCTTTGCACTGGAAAAGGATAAGGAGTCATTTGTTTTAAAATTGGAAATCTCGCCTTCAATACACCATAAGCACGTTCAATGTAATTTCTAAGTTGTGCATGAGCATGATTGAACATTTCTTCCTTAGTCAAAGCTCTGTTTCTTCGAAAATCGGCTAACCAATACCTAGTATTGCGGTAGGGAGCCATAAATCCACGGGTGTTGGTGTATGCGGCATCACAAAGGTAATATTTATCTATAGATGTATGATAGATTTATCATATAAACAAAAAAAGATAAAAAAAAAAAAAAAGCATATAGTAAAGTTACAAACCTGGTGGAGGGAATGGAAATCCGGAAGTCGGGTTAAATGCAACTTCTTTCAAAACTTTAGAATCATGTGCTACGCCCTCCCATCCAGCCCATACAAAGGTGAATATCATATCAAAATTACAAATTCCAATTACATTTTGATAACATTCACCTTTTCCTCTTCCCCTATAACGAGTTTGTTGATCAACGGGCACAACTGCATGTACAAGTGTTCCATCTAGTGCACCTATTGCTCCGGGAAATATATGCATTAGTCGTCTATATCGTTCTGATGTATTTCTTGTTGCATTAGACGAGGTTGGTACTATAATTTCTCGTGCAAAACACATCATTGCACGTAAGACCTCATGAAAACATTGATGAATTGTTTGTGTGGAGTGATGAAATCTTTCTTTAACGGCTCGAAAACGTTCATTATGTCCTATAACATGTAAAAACATAGTCATCTTCTCTTCAACGCTTATCGCCCTACTATATTGCAACCAATTTCTCTATGTAAAGTGATTGCATAATAGTACAAAAGCATCTTGTGAAAGATGTATCATATCGAAACATTGTATAGGATATCCGTGTATCAAATCTTGCGTATACACATACCCATTTGCTACTGTTCACTAGCTCTTATTCTTTTAATTATTCTTTACCTTTGTCGGACCAACATCAACCAATACCACGAGAATATAAGAAAATATAAAAATCTACCTTCTTTATCCATGTGTCCTGTTAGATGTCAAATACAAATTACATTTTAATCAATAACATAACAATCCATGACATAGCAAACCGTAACATGTAAATAAGAAAACCATAACAATCCATATAACATAGCTGCACTTAAGAAAAACAATCCATAACATAACTAAACCATAGAATACTAATGTCTAATAATAAACCATAACATACTAAAATCAAACAATGAACCATAACATACTAAAGTCAACCAACTAATCCAAACTTTTTTCCCACATTTGTTACCCACGACTCACAAGTTGACAAGTTAAGGCATAACCAAATTTTCCTATTACCAGCACTTTCAGCAAATAACATTAGAGCAATGGTGTATTTCGGATCATATTCTCCCCACTCCAAGCTTGTCAACTTCCCCATACAAGCATCCATCTCCTTGTCAAGATTATTTGCTTCGGTAAATGCTTGTGCAGCCTTGATAATATCTTTTCCAACTTCTTTCAACTCATCATCAAGTGTGGTTTCTTTAGGACCATTTCGTTTGCCTCCCTTGTTTTTTGTCCGCCCAGATGATTCCTCACTAGTAGGTTAAGGTACTGTTGAGCTTGGGGTATCTGCATGAGGTGTTGGCTCATCCATCTTTGTATCCTCAAAATCATGTGTACTGAAGGTTTCATTGGGATGAGGTAACGTCGAAGATGGCCCCCAACTATGAACACCGGTTGAGGTTGCCCCATAAAATAGTTGAGTACAAAGTTCAGGGCAAGGGAGGGGTGCATTTCTCAGCTTATCTACATACTTGTTCAACTATTTGACAAATTTAATAAATATTAATAAAGTAGTAAAAAAATAATCTACTTTAAAAAATTTGTATATATGTACCTTCGCTTCCGCTTCCCATTCTTCATTAGTCATGTTAAAAGAATTTGTTACGGGATTATAAATATTTAGTGTTTTGTTTTTAAGTTTTAACCACACTGCATACTTTGCTTTTAAATAGTCGTATCGGTTTTTCATTTGTTTTTTTGTCGACAATAAAATTATGATCTGTTTTCAATTTCTCCGCCACCACAGCCCATGAGCTTGCTTTTAGTCCACTACCCTCCCGGCCATTACTTGTTAATTCTTGTATACATGCTTCCAAAAAAGTTTTGTCCACCAATTCCGACTTCCAACTAACCCTAATTCTTTTATCTGTCATGTCTATTGTAAAAAGAAAAAAAAAAGCTAATCATCCACATAACACACATTTACAAATAGCTAACACTATTTGTTTGATGTCAATAAGATAAAACATATTTTTTTTTGTTTAACCTAAAGATAATACAACTTGAAGACAAGACTTGGGAGATATCATATACATACAGTACATAACTTGAAGACAAGATCTCATATACCAGTTTGGTAATGCACATATACCTATGTAACAAATTCTAATCATTGTCTTGAGCATTTTGATGTTACACACATATGCACATAAACATAACATATACACACAGTACACAATTCATTCGATTTAACAACTATATAAAACAACTATATAAGGGACTGTGATTTCACACATCATTTCATACACAAATATTCATTCCTTCATATAGATAAAATCAGATTTCATAAACAAAAACACATTATGAATTGATTTCATGCTAACCCTTCGTTCTAATTGAATCCAAGAATAATGAAAGAAGTAATTTCAAACTTTGATTTCAGAATGAAATCATCAATTTGATAGCAAACATGCAGGCTTTTGTGATTTCAGGAAAAAAAACGAAGAGGAAGAGGAAGAGGAAAACGAGCGGCAATTTGTGTTAGGGAGCAGGAGAAGAAATTGCATCGGTCAGGAAGGGTGTTGTGATTTCAGGAAGGGTGTTGTGATTTCAGATAAAATAAAGCAAAAAAAAACACGCAGTTACCTGTGTCGTCACCGGAGAAGTCGTCGCAGCGTCATTGCCGTAGAAGAGGGGCTGCGTCGTCGTCGGAGAAGATGGGGAGGGAGGCGATCAGCAGGTCTTGGCGA